CCCTATAGATCCCTTTAAGGAGCCCGGTACCAACTCACGCACTGCTCGCAGAACAGACTTGCTATAGAGGACAAATCTCCGATCTCCCCTAAGCTGCGCTTGCCAAGCGAGGTCATGTTCTGATGAGACCCAAGGCCTTTCATCGCAGTTGTGGTTTCCTTTAGGTAAGCCCGTTCATCCCAAAGCCTGGCGAACGATGCGGGAGACCAAATGCTCACCCAAACAGCCACTCCTGAAAGTGCACAGATCAAAGGACTAAAGGAGAGACCCTTAAAGGGACCCTTGGGGTTATATAGGGGCTTTATGAGACTATATAAGGGGTAAGCAAGGGATGGGTCCCTCCTAGGGGTCCCTCCTATTGCCCCTTAAACTCCTGAAAGTGCACAGAGCTAGGGTCTACAGAGTTTATGGCGTAGGGTCTATATATGGTTTGAGGTTTAGGGTTTAGGGGCTTGGGGCTAGGGTTCCGGGTTTAGGCCGGAGGGTTTAGGGCTCAGGGTTTAGGGTGTATAAGTTTCGGACTGGAGGATTCGGGTTTAGGGTTCAGGGTCCTTGTAAAGGCTCCTTCAGATGTCCTTTTCTTCTGTGGATTTGACCCTAAACCCTAAACCCTAAACCCTAAACCCTGAACCCCTTCGCGAGCCGGAAGGGTGGGGGGTTTTAATTGGGCTCTCAGAGTGTGTTGAAAGCGGTTTCTACAGGCTTTTCTGCTGCAAAGTGCTGCCTCGGTTTAGGGGTTTAGGGGTTTAGGGGTTTGGGGGTTAGGGTTTAGGGTTTAGGGTTTAGGGTTTAGGGTTTAGGGTTCGGGGCTCAAAGCTCTAGCGTTTTGTGGCTACAGTTAGGTTTATTGGAAGCACAAAGGTCCAGGATGTAGTGGACAAAACTCGAATTAGAGCCCTTAAACCCGGAACCGTTCGTAGGAGTTTTGGCTGCTGCTTCAAGGGACGAGTGGGCTTGGTGGAGAACGAAGGCCCTCACCTCGAAAAAACCTTTGGCGCTAGGGCTCAGGGGTTAGGGTCCTAACTTAGCAACCCGATGGCCCGAAGCCTCACTCATCAAACCCAGACCCCGCTGTCTGCCAAGTTCAAAGACCCAGAGGGTCCAAAGACGCTAGCGTTCTGGAATTAAGCTCCGAAAGGCCATTTCACTCATGGTTTTGGGGGACGTACCCCCCCATGGCAGTATTTTATATGGAGCCTCTCAGAAACCGAAACCCGTAGACCTTAGACACCGAGCCCTGAACCTCCAATAAAAATCCCAAAACCCCTAGAACCCCTAGAACCCCTAAACCCTAAACCCTAAACCCTAAATCCCTAAACTCCTAAAGCCCCTAAACCCCTTTGCCAGTCCTTTCCAAGAGGTCGTCGAGGTCGCCCCCCGACAGCTTCTCCTCAGCAAAATGGGGGATGCTAGGCTTGGGCTCGCTCCAGGGTTTGCGGCTTAAGGTTTAACCCTTACCCTCAAAGGACTCATGTTTTAAGGCTTTTGGGCTCAAAGACCCCATTATATAAGGCTTTTGGGCTGTTTTGATGCTAAGGTTTAAGAGTTTAGGGTTTAGTGGGGGGTTTACGGTTTTAGGGCAGGGTTTTGGGGTTTAGGGTTGTAGGGTTTAGCGTTTAAGGGTTCAGGGTTTAGGGTTTAGGGTTTAGGGTTCAGGGTTTAGTGGTCTTGTTCTCGCATGAGCCTAATGGAACCAGTAGATAGCTCTCCGATGGGCAAACCCAGAGCCCTAAGCCCAGAAAGCCTAGAAACCTATCACGAAATAGTGCCACTAAGACCAGTTCTGAAGTTCTCGCACCAGCGACAGCCCACTTGCTGAGTTTCGTGACCCTCTCAGGCAGGGTGCCCCAAACCCTAAACCTACTCTGAAGGTTCACGGGCTCGGCGCTGTATCACTGGGCGGACATAGTTGGACATCTGCCTCTCAGCAGTCTTTGCAAGAAGCATGTCCCTAAACCTGGCCCTATCCCACACCCTGGTCTCATCGCATGCAGAACCCTAAACCCTAAACCCTAGGCCCATCGCATATAGAAGCCTATTAATAGCCGTTAGAATTAGAATACTGAATACATAGTTGGTAGAATTAGAATACTTAATACCGTTATTGGCTTCAGAACTCTGTGGACAGGCCACGTGCTGGTGGTTTAGGGTTTAGGGTGTTAAAGCTTAGGGTCTAGGGTCTAGGGTTTAGGGTTTAGGATTTGGAGTTTAAGGCTTTAGGGTTTAGGGCTTAGGGTTTAGGGACCCCACTTACAACTCCACTATAGCAGCCTCTAGTCTAAGCCGGTACAGTGGAGGGCGGTCCCAGGAAACGCCCTACACCCTCACATTACACACACCTTCCAACATCCATTCATTAAGGAATAGACCTTAGAACTGATGATAGTAGGGATCCTAGTATAATTCGATGTATGTTTTGGTACATTCCTGAATTATGGGATTTTGGAAGGGACATCTTCTTAGCCCTAAACCAGCGACCTGATGAGATCCTTTGTAGAACCCGCAGAGCTCTGGAAAGCTTAACACCTTAAACCTTATACCCTAAACCCTACTACGAACCCCTAAACCCTAAACCCCAAACGATTTAGGGTTCAGTGCGTTGGTTGGTTAAAGAACCCTTAGAGGGAACCCTTTGTCTAAGTCCAAGGTGAACCAAACAAAATTGAAGCCAAGTTGCCATGAGAAGATAGATCTTCTGATTCTTAGTGTCCTCACCGAATTCGAAGAGCCGCACGATGTTCCTTGGTCCCTAAACCCTCTACTTGTTGAGAGCTCCCGTTTAAGTACTAGTAGGAACCCCAAACCACAACAAAGTAAAACGTAGCCCCAAGATTGACCAAGTTTCGGATGATCGAGATCCTGAAGCACCTCGGGCCGAAAAGGGCAATGTAGGGTGTTGCTACTCCAGTTCCTTAGACGGTAGACACAAACGGTTAAAGTTCCCTAATAAACGAAACAAAAAGCAACCATACATCCATAAAATAACATAACTGGCAGAAATGCCGCAAGGCGCTAAATACGTGTACGTGTTCTGGGCTTTTTCAGTTGAGAATGCTCTACACATGTTCTGCTACGATTCTACAACAAGCTTGCTTATAATAAGGGCTCTACAAACCGTGGGCTGTGTACGAAGGCTTTGCTCTGGTTATAAGTCTCTTGTCAAGCGCGCCTTACGCAAATCATCCCTGTATACATGTTACCCCAGCTGACTAGTGCATGTGTATTAAGGGGCGACAGAGGATGCTACCATGATAGCATAGCTTGAGGCATCCTTGTCTTAACATGACATGGAGACCTACCTACCATAAGGACATCAAAATAAAGAAGAGGGCTTGGGGGGGGTACGTTATCGTATCATTCGTATTCGGGGACTATGACGTAGAAACCCTTGAATCCTAATTCCTTAAACCCCAAACCCGACTATTTGTAAAATTCCGAACCGTCTCTCTCTATTCTTCAACAAACTGGTGGAAAACAGCTCAATTTTTCTAAGATAGACCGAATGTAGAAGGCCGAAAAGCCTAAAGTTCTCTCATTGGCCATCTACCGCAGATTAGGCTTTAGCCCTGGCCCTGCCTGGATCTCACGGCGCATGTTGTCCAAGAGTCGTGGCGCTAGGTTCTTCGTTGTCACGATCTTGATGACTCGTTCAAGACCTCGAAGAGTTGGGCGCATGCAGAGCTTAGGGCGCTATAAGGTTTTACTTGTGGCGCACAAGACTTCGAAGAAATAATAGGCATATATATATATAGAGAGAGAGAGAGAGTTACTTATTTATTTGTTTATTTGCTTATATATATGTATTTATTTATATATTTGTTTATCGATTTATTTATGTATTTTTTTATTCAGTATATTCATTAATTTACTCATCTATCTACGTACTTGTTTACTTGTTTGATTGTTGTTTACTTATTATCTATTTAACTTGTTTGCTTATTTATTTACTGTTTATTTATTATCTAGTTGTTCTTTACTAAGCTGAGAGTCTACTCAGTAGGTACCCTACAAACACGGTGGGGTATGAGCCTACAGGAAGGGTTCCGGGGCTGAACATAGCCCTGAGCCCTAAACCTTAAGCCCTCAACTCTAAAACCCAAGCCCTACATAATTGGGCCTAATTATAGGCTCCCTAAACCCTAAACCCGAAACCCTAAACCCTAAACCCTAAACCCCAAACCCTTTCCTTAGGCCCCATAAGGCCTTAGGGGCTGAACATCGATCCGAGCACCTGTAGCCCGCTCCCGCACCAAGTGGACGACGCCGAAGGAGCCACTCCCCAGCTCTTTCAGAATGTCATAGCCTCACTTTCATAAGCAGCCAGGGTTTAGGGTTTAGGGTTTAGGGTTTAGGGTTTAGGGTTTAGGGTTTAGGCCTCACTCTCATACGGTCCAGGGGACTTCGGGTTTAGGGTGTAGGGTTCCTTCAGAGGTTCCTGTAAGGGTTTCTATAGCAAGGGAAGGTCATTTCCCAGTTCAACCTTAGCCCGCACCCTATACCCCCCCTACGCATTTACACCATTTTAAAAGCCACCTTCTAATCCAAACCTTATCCCAAAACCCCTAACTCATAACCACAACCCAAATACTTTACCTTATCCATAT